TCATTTTCTAGGCATTTTAACTATAAATAAAGTTTAAAGCAAAGTCCAAAGGATAAATATTTAAATTAAAAGATTTTTTGTTAAATGACAAAGAATTAAAACAGTCCAGCAATGTTTATTCTGTACCACCGAATGACTCGATTATTATATCGGCTACAAACAATTTAAATCATGTTAAAGATTATTTTTTTATGCAATCTACAATACGAGAGAAAATTAGCTACTTAAAACATTCTTTCGAAGAAGATTAATGTAAAAATTTATACTTATATATATATTTTTTAAAGCTGGGACATGACCCAAACTATCAATGCCCTGTTTGCTTAAAAACATTGTGAAAATAAACATCAAATGAACTTTCTCAGTTTTAGACAATTCAATTTAAATGTAGTGAAAGCAAAGTGGCATACGATAACATGGCAAAGGTAAAAATTTAATCTTACAAATATTTTTAAAAAAAAGAAAGAAAAAAAGAAATTTAAAAAGTTACAAATTTGAATAATATCATCTACAATTAAAAAATAGCTTTACCTATAGCATTAATAAATATTTATTATGCATCATTGAGGGAAAAAATTTCATATATGCACTTCTTTTCCTAAATTTGGTCTCGAAAAAGTTACCTGCATCTTATACATGAAGGACACAGGTTAACTTTCAATACTGAATGCTATTTTTAGCCCGGATAAAGGTCTAGACACACATAACTTTTTCTACATCTACATCTGTGTGGCCTTCTAAATAAGGGTGTGTCTTATATGCCGTCAAATATGGTAATTAATTCTCCCTAAAAATTTATTTGAAATTTAAGGTTAAAAATAGCTGTGGCAATTCACTGTAACAAAAATCTATAAACCACATTTGGCGTTATTATCGCTCAAAAAAAAAAAAAAAAATGCCAAATTTAAAAATGCGAAAATATGTAAATTCGTGTATATTTTAGAAAATTTTGAATAAAAAACTAATTTTTTGCAGGTATGCGTAGAATTACACCTACTTCAAGATGACTAAAAATTTTATAGGTTATAATTCAAAATATTTTTAAAAAATTTATAAAAATTAATTAAAAATAGAAATTTAAAAAATAAAACACAAAAATGGGCGAATTTTATTTGGAATGAACCTAAATTTCGAAACGTGAAAGGGGAAAAAAAATCAAAAAAGTTTAATAAAAAAAAAGAGATTAATAAATACACTCAAAAGTCATTAATTCGGACCACCATAATCCGGTATAATCTATAATCCGGACCTCAAAGCTACAAACTTTCTGCGCATGCGTCGCGCATAGGCATTCACGCATGTGCATAAGACCTTTACGGTTGCGCAACTGCATGTGCGTAAGCGCATAATACGTTTACGCATGCATGTCTAACGTATAAGGGACAGTATAAGCTAAAATTATCTCATTATCTATTTCAGTTAATGTTGCAGATTGTGTTGTTCCTTAATCTTCGAATTGGATCCGGCTTATTATTTTTTGCAGACTGTTAGAGCAATTTTATAAAAAGTAAGCTTGAACTTTCGATTATGTCAAATAGAATTTTCCTATGCCGGAGCTCCCAAAGGACCTACAAAGCGAAAGTATGTTTCGATGTCCATCAAACAAAAAGTGGAATTCCTGCAAAAAATGGATAAAGGCATGAAGAAAGTGACAGAGAGGTTAGTGAAAATGAAAAAAATTCAATTGACAAATTAGTCAGTATTCTTGGCACAGCAATTACAGGACTTGAACAGCGGAACTTTGTAACTGAACAAGAAATTATGCCTGTTTATATAGAATTAAAGAGAAAGTATTAGCAAGCAACTTAAACAACTTACATTAAAAGAAATGTTTAATAAAGTAAACAAATACATATTAAGCTTTTTTTGTGTATTTTGATACCCTTTAAAGATCATAATTGTTCTTTATTTCATAAATTACAGTTTCATATTTTTAATTTTATAACTTCTGCTTGCCATCTTACCAGATTTAAACTGATAATCTATAATGCGGAATCGCCAAAGTCTCGACGAGTCCGGATTAACGACTTGTATATGCCAAATTGACAGTATATGCCAAATTCAATTAACATAGAGGTGCTATTTTTTTAAACTACCCGTACGATTTTTACAGAATTTGGCAGTCTGGCATAGTTTGAGTTGCAGAATTGAAATAAGTAAAAAAATTGGTATGTTATTTCAGAAAAAGTCCGATTTTGTGTCAAAATACCTATGTTAGAATAGTACTTTATATAAATCTAATATATATCCTATGTCGCGTTTCCGAGACATGGAAAATGCAATTTGAATTTTGTCAATCAGTCCAGTAAAAACAGAAGATATAGAACTGTCCCTTATTTTTTTTTCACAGTGTGCCACGAGTCAAACACAATATAATGCCATAAATACTGCATCAAACATTGAAGTAGTCTTACTACAGTACACTTTGAAGTAAAATAATTTTTAGTTCTGTATTTCAGAGACTAATTTTTCAAGCTAAAAAATTCTAAAAATACTTGCTGGGAATATTTGAGACCAGATAATAATTCAAACAGATTAAAGTTATGCCAAAATTCTCATACTTCAAAAGTAGAAAATGCATAATTTGTGCAATAATACAGACAAAAATACTTGCATAAGAAAATGCAATAAAAATACGAAAAATTACCACAAGACAAACAGTTATGAAAAACTAGATGTAAAGCAAAAAAATTGATTTCAGTTTTAAAACTATGTTTTAGATGACACTAATAGTGAATGATGCTCTGAAATTGTTTTATAAATAATTACAAATTTTGGAACTGACAATGACATGTTAAAGAATATTATGGAAGTTTTTATAAAATTATATACTGATCTAATTAGGATATTATTTCTATGTGAAGAGAAGATTTTAATTTTATTCAATCTAACAGATCTCCAAAATTATTTTCAAGATAAAAGAAGGCTGTATGAAGACAAACATATTCACATACGGAAGATACCGCTCAATGTGACTGCAGTTAATGTTACAATTTCGATATTGTTATTGAACTGCTGAAATCCCGTCCATTTATACATGAAAACATGGTAAATACATTGCTTATTGGAATCAAGAATTCAGTTAATATGTCAGAATATTATAGAATCAATTTTTTAAACTGAAGGTCGGTCACAAAATAAAACTATCTTGCCAATTACAAAAACTGCAAAGTTACACAGAAATGTCGCAAACATCTTGTTTTTTATTTTTGCCAAACATTTAAATTAATTAAAAAAGTTTAGCTATTTACCTAATTTTAAATGTTTGACCATGTTTGATACAAATTTTCAATAACTATCAATTTTGAGCAGATCAGACACCAGTCCATCTTCTTCAAGAGCAAAAAATATATGACTGCAGAATTTTTTCTTAAGTAGAAAAATTCTCTAAAAACATCTACGCAAACCAAGATTACATTTTTGAAGCATTTTAAATCTTAGATGGGCAGGTTCTCTTCTTAATGAGGGATGCCCTTTAAGTATTCAAATTAAGGATACAGCAGCAGTCAAGTAATTTCCAGAAAAGTTCTGAACCACTTGTAAAAGAACTTTAGCATTAAAGAAACTGACAGATCACAAACTTTTGAATTTTCCCAACTAGAATGCTGCAAAAATGTGCCTATTTATATGTCTAGTTATAATTATAGTAAATTAATTAAATTCCACTCCTATGTTAAAGTTCCGCCCTCCTCATCATTTAATGTTACAATCCAGATAATGTAATTGAAATAGCTGTGAAAAAACGTGATCACATTAAACGGCACTTACTGCAGTAGTTTTGATGCTGATAACAAATATGAAATGTTCGACAAATAGAGAGATTGCCATTTTATGCAGGAGAACAAAGAAGCGTACAAAGAAGTAGGCATTAATTAGCAAACATGATGTTCTAGAGCCCCACAGACCGAAATGCTAAATACAAAAGCAACTGAATAGATATACCTTTGTTTGCATAGTGGCGAGTTATTTTGCAGTTTATTACATAGCTCATGCATTTTATGCTCACAAATGCAAAATTCAATACATCGATAGTCTTTTGAGGCCTTACACACAACAAATTTTGCAAAACTTAAAACAACTTCACACATACACACATATATATTAATTATTTAGTATTCTCTCCAATATTCAGCTAAGAATTTCATGACCTAAAAACTGAAGAATGCTCCCTTAATTCTCACCTCCTAATGATAAATTTAGAAAAAAAAAAAAACTAATCTTGATACATTATCTTCAACTAAGACTTGCAGTTACTACAATTCAGCTAAGAATGGAAATAATTATATTTTCAGATGATTTAATTACTACCTCAAATTTTTCAAATTTTAATCTTTATTTCATTTTAGACATTTTTAGAACTTTTAATATTTACTCCAACTAATATTTGTCATGGAATAAGCACAATACAGTATTTTTGTTATTTTAGTACATAAGTATTTAATTAACATGAAAAGTGATGTAATTAAAAAATAATCTATTTTCATTTTTAGTTTATAACACAAAAAAATTTTATGTGCTCACAGATATCATAAAACTAATATATAGCTAAGTATGTAAAATACTGAACAACAGATTTCTTTGAATACTCTGTTATGCAGAATTTTCATCAAAGATGGAAATTCATGCTGCCACAAATGCAGTTAATTCAATAAGGAACAAAAAGTACATGCAATCTTATTTTATAACTGAAAGTGTTAGATCAGGAAAATAATATACTAGTCAAATGAACTCAAACAATGCTTCCAGAATTTTGCTCTAAATTCTCTAAGTACTAAATGATAGTTGTTTCCCATTAATAACTGTATAAAATAAGCAAAATTATTAGTTTCTTTTGTCAATTTCTTTTTCTTAAAAACAAAGCTGAACATTAAAAATAACTTTGCTCACATGCTTTTCTAATCAACAAAAAAATTATCAAATTCACAAGTAAACAATTATATAATGGCAATACACTATTTTATAAATGTCAGTAAAAGGTAGAAAATTAAACTGTTGCTCACTTGGGGCAGCATCCTCTCCATCGAATCTTGCTTTTGGTTGAAAAAGTTGACGGAAATGAGGTTTACAGTAAATGTCTCCCTCATTTGATGAATAAGAATCAACACTAAAAATTAAGATAAAAAGCAATTAGGTCAAAGATGATTTTAACTGAATGCCCATATTTTTATAGTTAACATTTAGAATAATAAGTATGGATTTAGATCCTTAAGTAATATTTTTTGGTCTCAAACTCGACACAACCGAATGTTTACTGAAATGTAAATGTTTACTTACACAAGTGATATAAAAATGATTAATAAAACTAAATTAAATACGCCAAAGTACATGACCATATACCTACCAACAGTAAAAAGGCAATTGGTTCTAAAATTGGATAAATAGAAACAGAATTAAAAACCAGGCTATCAAAACTTAGAAAATATTCAAAACACAGTGCTGCTTCTTGTTAATTCCAGGTCCTCTCACTTCTTTCACATTAGGCCTGATCAAATGTGTTGCATGTACGCAAAGACATTTTTAACTCCTCAACCTATTTATTACTTATTTAACTCAATGAGGGGCGTAGCTAGAGGGGGCCAAGGTGGGCATCTGTCCCCGGGCGAAGAATCCAAGGTGCACCAAACTGATGTTATGACATTTTAGAATTAAATGTTTTACATCCTTTGCAAGCAGTAGGGAGCGCGAAATCTTCAGTTGTCCCTGGACACTGAAAACCCTAGCTACGACCCTGAACTCAACCTTTTGACAAATACAAAATTTCAGAATTTTTAATCAAAATTTTCCAGTATGGCTTACCAATGATAGAAGTGACAGTACACATTTTATGTTGCTTACTTCAACAGAACTATATTTTAAATTACAGCTATTATGCATAAACAATTGTTACTGCTTCCATGTATATAACATGGATAAATATAACTGGAATATGCATTCATAAATAGAAATGCATCAAGCTCTGTTAAAAAACTGTTAACTTCTACTCAGCATATAACTGCATTAGTTTCTTTCTTTTCTTTTCTTTTCTTTTTTTTTTCAGGAAAGGGAGGGATGCCCCATGGAGGTCTTTTAAAGGAAACTCGCACATATCCACATTACACATGGGGGGGGAAACCATGAAAATGCCCATGCAGCCAGGACTCGAACCCGGACCGAACTACCAGTGTTCAGCAGCTTTTACCGCTCGGCCACTGGTGGGCAACTGCATTTGTTTAAAGGTATTTTTTGCTTTTATGAATACATTTTGCTTTTAATATGCATCAGTTCACAGAAAGACGAAATATATCCTATAAGCTTAAGCACACAGTGCTATAAATGGAAAAGGGCTTCTGAAAGAAGTTTTTCTTCTTTTCCCAAAACATAACTTCAGGTTTATCCCCTTTCAAACTGGGGATTCAGTTGTCAAACTTCTACTTTGACTTTATTTAGTAACTGCAGTTAGTTTAAAAGCTGTTTCAAACATTTTTTTTTTTTTTTCCACTGAACTATCTGAACTACATATTCAATATGTAATCAGTATATCCATTATCACTGCATTTAGTGAACATGACTAATGCGACATAATTAGCTGCATTCTAGCATTATTTAACAAAAGTAAAATTTTTTTCACTTCCATTCAACTATACACAACAGGCATGAAGTTAGTTTGTCACTTTGGATTTCATAGCCAATTATTACAGAGTCACAAAACAGCATATTTTATTTATTTAAAACTGCACACTAGTTCTGCCTTGATCAAACAGTATTTTTTGATTGCTTATCCATTACACGCATAATTACTTTTACTACATAATTCAAGAGGAAAAAAAGTATGTGTGCTATCTATAATTCTTCCCCATAGATGAAACATTCCAAACTGAAAGATCATCCTTGAAAGATAAAATACACATTATCCTAGCATTAATACTAAGAAACAAAGCTGCTGAAATTATTTATATAGTCAAAAGTATTTAATCCGGACGTCCATAATCCGGAATGATCTATAATCCGGACCTCAAAGCTACAAACTTTCTGCGCATGCATAAACGCATAATAGCTTAATGCATGTACATAATACATTTATGCATGCGAGTTTAATGTATAACAGACAGTATAAGCTAAGCTAAAATAATCTAATTATCTATTTCATTTAATGTTGCACATTGCGTTGTTCCTTAATCTTCAAATTGTATCCTGCTTATTATTTTTTGCAGACTGTTAGAGCAATTTTATAAAAGTAAGCTTGAACTTTTGATTATGTCAAATAGAATTTCCGATGCTGGAGCTCCCAAAGGATCTACAAGGCGAAAATATGTTTCGATGTCCATCAAACAAAAAGTGGAATTGCTGCAAAAAATGGATAAAGGCATGAAGAAAGTCACAGAGAGGTGATTTGTTTCGCTAACCATTCCAAAATCTGTTTGTCTATTTCACGCTGCTCTGCTAGGGGGGGCGAAAGTCGCGACGCGCAATGAACTGGAAGTTGATCTGTCAGCACTATCCTCATCTTCCGAGCAGATGTTTTTATTTTATTCGGCTTATAATTCCTTACTAAATGTAGTGTTTCATCTCAATGTACTTCGATATGATTTAAATCAATTTCCTCGTCATTATAAATACCACGAATATACATAAAATAGTTTTCTGGTTGCAATTTTCTAATTTTGACTATGCATAATGTATGCTTTACGCATGCGCGCGTTGAAAGAAATGCTTAATACAGTAACCAAATAAATATTAAGCTTTTTTTGTAAATTTTGATACCCTTTAGACCACAATTGTTCTTTATTTCATAAATTATGATTTCATATTTTTAATTTTATAATTTCTGCATGCCATCTTACCAGATTTAAACTGATGATCTATAATCCAGAAAAATCAATAATGCAGAATCGCCCGGATTCCCAACGAGTCTGGATTAAAGACTTTTCACTGTATTTCTAAAGAAAGCATTTTTTTCACAATAAATAGACAAAACAAAAAGCAACCGATTTAATAGTTTGACAGCCTGAAAACCATTTGCATATAAGTGTCACAGGAAGAAAAAAAAAGAGGAAGAATAAAATCTCAAATGATCCTGACGACTAGACACAAGCAATTTATAAAAACTCTTATGGAAGAAAAGAAATCTTTACAGTGGGATAAACTATGAAAGTTTATTCAAATTTATGATAAATTATCCTAAGGTTGCCTGCAAAAATCCAGGATTATCCCACAGCTGTTAAATGCATATAATATGAGAAATACGAGTATGTATGGCAATTTCAAAATGAATAGTGCTTCTAATTGGAAAAACAGAAGATAGAATTCTTATTTCGAAAATAAAGCAAAGCTAGTGAAAAATATTAACAGCAAAATTTCTGAGCATTTTCTATTTAGTGCAGATAAGTGACTGATTATGGCAACATACAGTAAAAAGGCGTTAATCCGGACTCGTCGGGACTTCATCGATTCCGGATTATCGATTTTTCCGGATTATAGATCATCAGTTTAAATCTGGTAAGATGGCATGCAGAAATTATAAAATTAAAAATATGAAACCGTAATTTATGAAATAAAGAACACTATCATCTAATGGGTATCAAAATTTACAAAATAAAAAGCGCTTAATATTTATTTGTTTATTTTATAAAACATTTCTTTCAATGTAACTTGTTTAAGTTGCTTCGTTTTTTATGTGATAATACATTCTCTTTAATTCTATAAACAGACATAATTTCTTGTTCAGTTACAAAGTTCCACTGTTCAAGTAATATAATTGCTGTGTTGAGAATACCGATTAATTTGTCAATCGAAATTTTTTAGTTTTCATAGCCTCTGTCACTTTCTTCGCTATCGGAAGCGAATTATAATGACGAGGAATTTGATTTAAATCATATCAAAGACAGTACATCGAGATGAAATACTACATTTAGTAAGGAATTATAAGCCAAATAAAAACATCTGCCCTGAAGATATGGATAGTGCTGACAGATCAACTTCCAATTCATTGCGCGCCGCAGCGTTAAAGATAAACAAATGTTTAAGTTTAGATAAACAGAGGATATGCCTTTATCCATTCAGATTAATTAAGCGTTAAAGATAAACAAAGTTTAGATAAACAAATGTTTAAGTTTAGATAAACAAAGGATATGCCTTTATCCATTTTTTGCAGCAATTCCACTTTTTGTTTAATGGACTTCAAAACATACTTTCGCTTTGTAGATCCTTTACATATTAGTAAATATATATCAGAAATTCTATTTGACATAATCGAAAGTTCAAGCTTACTTTTATAAAATTGCTCTAACAGTCTGCAAAAAATTATAAGCTGAATAAAATTCAAAGATTAAGGAACAACGCAATCTGCAACATTAACTGAATTAGATAATTTTAGCTTAGCTTATACCTTTCGTTATATATTAAACGCGCATTCAGAAACGTATTTTGTGCACACGCACACATGTTCGCAGCCTGACGCATGCGCAAAAAGTTTGTAGCTTTGAAGTCCGAATTATGGGTGTCTGAATTAATGACTTTTGACCGTATGTCAGGGCTATCTGGCTCATTACAGATACCACCAGAGCTACTATTTTATCAGAAACTTGCTTAAATACTTTAGACATGAGGAAAAGTATGAAAATTATTACCTGGGATTCAAGCATAAGATTAAATACCATAAAAATAGTGATAGAGTCCTTTGGAAAGGAAAGGTATTTTGCGAATAGCATGTACACAGATCATAGGAAAAGATAAAAGTCAGCATAAATCATCCATTCAATCAACGAATTTTATTCTGCTTGCAGTAAAAATTAAAACATGTGTAAAATATTAGATGTAACTTATCTGACTGACACACTTATTTGACAGATATTAAAAAAAAAAGATTCACAACATGAGGTAGTCTAGTTTAACTTTCCTTTTGTTTTTGCCAAATAGGGGGAAAAGAACTGAGATGATTCTTCCATACACTAAGAACGAAGGAGGGTATGCATATCCACAGCATGACACCAAAGACATTAGATGCCAAAATAATGTATTACTTTAAATTAGACATCAGCATAATTAACGTCCTCAGTTTACATAACTTTTTATCATATGTGTACAAGTTATGTGCATGTTTTTTCATGCTAAACAGAGAATATTTTAATAGAAGACAGTCCAAAAAATTTGCAATGATTTCTAAAATTTTAAAAAATCCAACAAGTAGTATTATGAATTCCTTTTTGCGTGAAAATAAATCACAGAAAGGAATTCTGTTAATATGGTGGCTATATTATTTCAAATGTTCACAAATAGAAGAAAGATACTGTTCCATACACACAGCAATGATCACAAAATAGCACTGAAAATGACACTGAATATCTTCTTCTATTGACTAATATCCTCAACAATTACTTTTATATGAAGTACGTTTTTTGTATGATATAACAGTATTCTGTGATCTGTATTGTTGATATGAGACAGAACCCTCTATTGGTAAAAATTTTAACCACACACTATTTTATAACACAAAAGTCTCCTACTTCTTGCCATTCATTTTCATGTGAAACACTCTTTTTGATTTTTAAAATTTTTTAAGCCTGTAATTTTTTTAGTACTCTGTACTTCACAACTGAAATCCTTTGCCTACCTTGCTTCACTTTCAAGAAAGGAATTAAAACTTCCAAGTTATTGACAAAGGCACTGCAAACATTTTGAACTAATAGCACATACTTTCTTTCACATTACTAAACCATGCTTTTGCAGCTCTAGCACACTGCAATCATAAATTAAGGATCCACAATACCTTAACTGCAAATATATTTTTTAAATTATCTGTATTTTTCACTTTAATTTAATAACTTGAAGGTTACTTACTTCAACAGTTTATTGCATTCTTTACATCGGAAACAATTCTTATGAAATATACTCTTCTCTGCCTTCATTTTTTCCATTTGGTAAACATGTTTCCCACATATCTTGCATAAACAGAGCTCGTCTTGACCACTCTAAACAAACAATCAGTCTGAAATTAATCATGAAAGCAATCCCATATGAAAAATGACAAATATTAAAGAACAGAATAAAATAATTTGGATTTGATGGTTATAGAAATATTTTAAAAACTGGTATTCAGCAATAACTTTATTTACAATATGGAGTATGCCATACTGAAAGTTTCCAAAGGGTGACGCATATCTTAAATGCCTATATGCCTATTTTTAGTAGATCATGGAAGTTTTGAAAGTTTCCTGCTTTGTTACACAGGTTCTATAAAAAAAATTAAAAAAAAGACATCTGCAGACTTTATTTTCTTATATACTGGTCTCAGCTATATAGTTCAGTCAATGAAGTTTTTCCAAATAAGGTACATAGCTTTAAAATAATAGTCCCAATATTGTGAACAGAAGGCTTTTTTAAATATATAAAATAATGGCTTATATGCTCCCTGTATAGGAAATCCTGATTAAAAAACATTCTTACATTTTAATAAGTTATGAACTGTTGTTGCAATGTTCTCTTACATGCAAAATTTGCTGAGATATTAGAGGGCAGGTTTACAATACGAAAGATGCTAATGCAAGAGACACTGAGATAAACATAGAATTTTTTCTAAAATAAAATTTCTGCCAAGCAACATACAATTTCTGCCCATTTAATATTTTTCTCACTGTGACTCTTTTACTGGCATTTGATTATTTTTCAATGCAATTCCACAGTGGGAAGAATATATTCAATATTAAAATATTAATTGATCTTATCAACATATGATTATCTTTGCATATTTTGAGGAATTCTGTAAATAGGAAATATATGTCAAAAATCAATAATTAAGAAAATAAAGTATGCAGTTATCTTTTTCAAAAGCCTAAATGATTATTTATATTTGAAATTATTAATTAGCCTATAATTATTAGTTAATCACGAATAATTACACTTGTTCATAATTATTTTAACTTAGTACATTATATTTTCTTTTTTTTCCAGAGCAGGTACATGGTCAAGTTAAACTGTTTTAAAGTCTGGATTGTGATGCTTATATGTTTGAAAAGCAATATATCAAACCATATCAAATTTTGTAACACTATAAACACTGGCACATAAAGCCTCTCCTACACATTTTGGACAAAATCCTGATGCCATCGATATTAAATTTTAAATTACACTTTTATGCTGATTCAAGAATCACTTGCATTAAAATCTGTACTGATATGTACATAACTGAAAATCTCATACTGACTCTTATCAGTTTTCACACATATTTTACACATGCATCATTTACACAAGTTATACAGTCAAAAGTCGTTAATCTGGACTCTTCGGGACTTTGGCGATTCCGGATTATAGATCATCAGTTTAAATCTGGTAAGATGGCATGCAGAAATTATAAAATTAAAAATATGAAACCGTAATTTATGAAATAAAGAGCACTTATGATCTAAAGGGTATCAAAATTTACAAAAAAAAAAAAAAAAAAAAAAAAAAAAAAAAAAAAAAAAGAGAGAGAAAAAAGCTTAATATTTATTTGTTTAATTTATTAAATATTTCTTTCAATGTAAGTTGTTTAAGTTGCTTTGTTTTTTATGTGATAATACATTCTCTTTAATTCTATAAACAGACATAATTTTTTGTTCAGTTACAAAGTTCCGCTGTTCAAGTTCTATAATTGCTGTGTCGAGAATACCGACTAATTTGTCATTTTTTAGTTTTCAATAACCTCTGTCACTTTCTTTGCTACCAGAAGCGAATTATAATGACGAGGAATTTGATTTAAATCATATCAAAGATGGAGTACATCGAGATGAAATACTACATTTAGTAAGGAATTATAAGCTGAATAAAATAAAAACATCTGCCCTGAAGATAAGGATAGTGCTGACAGATCAACTTCCAATTCATTGCGTGTCGCGGCGTTAAAGATAAACAAAGTCTAGACAAACAAACGTTAAAGTTTAGATAAACAAAGGATATGCCTTTATCCATTTTTTGCAGCAATTCCACTTTTTGTTTAATGGACTTCGAAACATACTTTTGCTTTGTAGATCCTTTACATATTAGTAAATATATATCAGAAATTCTATTTGACATAATCGAAAGTTCAAGCTTACTTTTATAAAATTGCTCTAACAGTCTGCAAAATAACAAGCCGAATCCAATTCGAAGATTAAGGAACAACGCAATCTGCAACATTAACTGAATTAGATAATTTTTTCTTAGCTTATACCGTCCATTATGCATTAAACGCGCATTCGTAAACGTATTTTGCGCATGCACATACGCATATTCGCAGCCGTAAAGGTCTTATGTCTGCGAATATGTGTATGTGTGTCATGACACAAACGCATATTCGCAGACGTAAGACCTTTACGGCTACGTCAAAGCGACACATGCGCAGAAAGTTTGTAGCTTTGAGGTCCGGGATTATAGATCATTCCAGATTATGGATGTCCGAATTAACGACTTTTGACTGTACAGACAAATTAAAGAGATTTACATAAATCACAGAAAATGAAGATGGTGAGAGATGGAGGAATGCTTTCTTTTTTGTATGCATTTAAACCTCACCTGACTAAATGTCCGTTGAACTTTAACTCTGTCAACAGATGGTTTAACTTCTTCTAGTAATACACTCTGCTGTGTTTCATCAGAGGTTTTAGTAAAACTTGACTTCTAGTTAAAAAAATTTTTAAAAATTAGTATATACAAAATATTATGATCTAAAAATTATAAAAGAATCTACGTAATGAGCTAACAATACTTCAGAGGATAACTATATTTGTTGATATTACTAAACTATACAGAAAAAAAATTACATTACATATGCTAATAACTTGAAGTATATTTATTAGTACAATACTTAATTGATAGTTATCATAATAACTAAAATATTGTTAAAAATTTTGCTCTTATTTAAATCTTATTTTTATCCATCATAATTCAACTTGCAATAAGTTACTCCCAAGAATACTTCAGCAATGATTTCAAGTTATCAAGTTCTCATCAATAATGAAATGCACACACAGCATACTGCTAGATTGCATCTAATGCAAGTATTATACATTTCACCATATTTTTTCACTTAAGACAATACTTGCATGTGATTTAACATTTTGCATGTTTTTGCACTTTGCATGTTTCCATGTTCATGCTTTGGAAAACAGCAATTTTTACAAAGTAACACTATGCTTCAGACCAAACCAAAATTATATGTCCAATAGTCATTTTTAGGCGATTACCTCATCTTGATTTACAGTTCTCTGAATGTTAAGTAATGAGTCTCTCGCAGAATTACAAAGGTTGACTCCAATTATGCAAGACACAAGACATAGGAGGTGGCACAAGACAAATTTCATAACAGCCCGTTGCTATTCTGCTTATTTCCTAACTTATGACTTTCATAATGAGAAGAGACAAGGCCTCCCAACAAACCTGAAACCCTTCAAAAGGCATCTAATTTGATGAAGTCAGTAAATCAAATAAACCTGCATTCACAGAACATTTACGTAGGTAAGTTGAAAAATAAGTTTCCCCTGTCGACTGTGGTCAGAGTTGTGTATGAAAGTCAAAAAATAGAATGAGACATTAAAGATATGACATACCTTTATTTTTCCACATAGGTACCAAGTACATTGAGACATTTGTCATATCGCTTGATAAGCTTCAAAAAGCCTTCCAGGAAAAAATCAGGGCTTTGCATATGCAAGAAGCGTTGAACGGGTATGGGCAAAAGGCGAAACAGCAGGAAAACGCGCAAGTCACCGATATACCATTGGGTAGAGGTCGCTGCAAATCAAGCAGATGGCGTTGTTGCAGTGCCTGCGCAAATTGGAGACCAGCCTCTCATTTGAGCCCTGGTAGGTATGGAGAAAAGGTGTGTTTTGAATTTGTGGTCAAAGGAAGAAGTGAGAGCGGTTATCCGCTATGAATGGGCACGTAGAGTATCAGGAGCAGAAATTCATAACCGCCTTGTGGAAGTCTATGGGCCAGGTGTGATGTCGAAGCAAATGGTGCGGAGATGGTGTCGCACATTCAGTGATGACGTCAGCAAGTGGAGGACATAGCGAGAGCTGGACAGATGTGCACGGCCACTACAGATGCAAATGTCAGGAAGGTGGATGACATGATTAGAGCGAACCAGCGTATCACCATTGATGAAGTAGCGGAAGAACTTGGAGTCTCACACGAGGGAGCTCAAAACATCATCCACGACATTCTTCGATACAGAAAAGTGTCAGCACGTGCCCCGACAATTGACCTCGACACACAAGGAACAACGCATGGGGGTCAGCCTGGAACATCTCATGCGTTACCATGAAGATGGCAATGACTTTCTGTTTCGGATTGTGACGGGGGATGAAACGTGGGTCCACCATTTCACGCCAGAATCGGAAAGCCGCATCTATGGAGTGGAAACATCCGTCATCATCTGTCCGAAAGAAGTTCAAGACAACTCCCTCTGCAGGTAAAGTGCTCCTCACAGTTTTCTGGGACGGCCAAGGAGTTTTGTTGCTGGACTTTTTGGAGGTTGGAACCATCAATGCTACGCGCTACTGTGACACCCTGTCGAAATTGAAAGAGGCGATTCGGAAAAAGCGGCCTGGCCTTCTCACATCTGGCATTCTGCTGTTGGATGACAATGCCAGGCCACATTCGGTGACGGCAACGCAAAACCATATTGCAACTCTTGGTTGGGAGCGCCTACACCATCCCCCATACAGTCCTGATCTCGTACCAAGCGACTTCTATCTGTTTCTGGCTTTGAAGAAAAATCTCGGGGCAAGGCGCTTGGGAAGCAATACTGAAGTCGAACAAGCCGTTCAATGCTTCTTCCATATGCAAAGCCCTGATTTTTTCCTGGAGAGCTTTTTGAAGCTTATCAAGGGATATGACAAATGTCTCAATGTACTTGGTACCTATGTGGAAAAATAAAGGTATGTCATATCTTTAATGTCTCATTCTATTTGACTTTCATACACAACTCTGACCACAGTCGACAGGGGAAACTTATTTTTTTATTATAAACTTATTTTTCAACTTGTAAAAACACTATTCTCAGAGCCATTTCTGAACCATCAAAACTTCAAAAACCAATTATAAATCTGAGAAACAATCAAACCAGTGCCAAACCTGAGAAATTAAGACAAGCTTCACCATTCTGCATTTGCTGGACTGTAAGTGGCAAACGGTCATTTGCACCTTGGATTATGTGGATAGTAAGTACAATGATATATAATATGATTCTAAATATAAATTTATAAATGATTATGTGTACCATATGGATGCAAGTTTACGAGAGATTAGCAGTCTGAATTCAGTTCATTTTTAGTTAGAAAAAGTCTTGATGCTTGATGCTCTAGGCTTAGTCTTAATGTACCAGACAGTCTGAATTGCCACTGAAGGATATGAAGGAGCTGTACTTTGGTAGAGGCACTTTCATAGTGTGGACTGTATTCACAGTGAATCTGAATAGGAGTACTGAAACTGGCTATCCTAACTTCACAAAAGAATAGTACTCAATATAGTTAAGGGTTAATGTTTCTGTAGTGTTTTTGACAAAATTCCCTTGTTGAAATCCAATGAGCAAGAAAAAGCTATCCACAAGAGATGTCCCAAACAGGGCTGATGCGAGGAATTTTGCCACTAAGTGATACCTCTCAAAGCTCCTAAAGCTGCCCAGCACCCTGTTCCCCCCCTTATTTAAAAAATTTTGCTATGCCAAGTTCTCCTGCTTGGAGCAGCTACACTGGTTACACCAGCCTTTGTCACAAAACAGTTGTTCAGGTTCAGATAAAAGTTAAGAGCAGCATGCTCCCCTGATTAATCTCAAGCCTACAGACAATATTCAAGCAAAAGCAACGTGGCATGCATATGCCATTAACAAACACTATGAATCAGTAGAAGAGCTCAAGACTACTATATCAGCATCTTAGAAAACTCACGTTAAACCAATTTCAAAAGTTGTTTATTCAAAGAAGAAAAGTATTTTTGATTATATTTTAAACAAAATATGACTCAGTACACCTAAATTAAAGTTATTCATAATTTTTTTATAAAAGCATTATCAGTGGAAGTGGACATACTCATTTCATATGGTCTAACACTCAATTTTTTCCCACTGAAATTATAGAACAGTTGGTACCTGAAATTATAATTAGAAGTTTATGGAGAAGCTGAATAACGAGGACATAATGCTTTATAGAAGAAGAATTTGGATCACATTAAAATACCCAAGAACTATGCAATCCTTTGATACACAACATACTAAAGATACTGTCAAAAAAATTATCTTCAGAGAAGAAGCAGGAGGGTTGAAAGAGAAAAGTACTTAGCATTTATGCAATAATTATCTGAGCTTCTGAATTGCAAAAACCAGTTTTCATTAAACTGCCCTATCTACATTTGATGAGGAAAATTTATCAAATTTGTTTTCACACAATCTTTACATGAGAGGTCAAAATTTAAATCATTCTTTTTATAAAACAGATCTAACAATTAAGGGAGGCATTATATAAATTCCATTTTAAAAGTTATATAAATTCCATTTTAAAACAAAATATGATTACTCTAGCATAAGTCTTTTCCTATCGTATGTTATCATTAAACACACTAATTTATTTATCTGAAACATGCTTATTAACAGAAATCCATATTTTAAGTGATTTTTTTTATTTGAGGGAAATTTACAATCAGTGATCAATATGAACAAATGTATTTTTAATTATAACCAAACTCTTTTTGCAAGCAAAGAAACTGTAAAAATAGACATTATGGCAATGCACTTGAGGGCTAACTGCATAAAGGGAGGTATGCCTTCATGGAGGGCTTTCTAAGGGGAACTGGCTTGTATACGTGATGAAAAGATAATATACTCAGATTGCTAACCAATATCTATAATTTACTGGCACATTCTAATGAACATTATATTACTGGTATTATGCAAAACTATTCTCTTTGTATGATAACTACAAGCTAAAAATCAATTAAAAAAATCACAATTCTTAAAAACATAGATGAAAGAACATAAGCATAAGAATTTTTCCCACCACCGATTATTAACATCAATTCTTACCAAAATTTTGACAGAAATGCCAGTTTCTATATTTTCACTTTCTTTATACTTGTATTCTTCTCTGGCTTTAATGAAGGTCGATTTCTGCATGCAATACAAATAACTACATCTAAAGCTAGTATAATACCTTACACCATGTACAAATTACATATTTATACATCTGCAGAGGCACACATACACTTCTACAGATAAAACAAGAACACTTTAAATGACAGTACAAAATCAGAAGGATTTAAAAAAATTAACATTTTCTTATTACTTGGATAAAAATAGGAATTGATTTTAAAGACTAAACTTACAATAAGCATCTAAGATGCAATGTATTTTATGCAGTTGAAAAGTTTCTTTTCTTCAAATAAAAATTTAAATAGAGGCCATGTAAGGACTCCTATGAATACACTGCACATAATGGCAGAATTTTAAAAAAAAATAAAAGCTACAAATTAGAAACACTTTAAACAATATGTCGAACACATACAGTTTAAATTGTTTTTAATCCGTGAACATATATACTTTCCTACATTTGTTTATTTTTGATTACTTCTGAAGGATTCCTTCTTAATCACTGAACATGTAACTAAGACACTGTTATGGCATATGTAATGTTTTTACTCACTTCAGTAACTTTTTTTTTTCCCATTGCAAATTAATCAAAATTTGAACATGTCAGTTCATGAGAATACAAAGCATATATATATATAAACAAATATTTCAGCTAAAATATTATTAGCTCACTACTTAAAAATAAGAAGCAGAAAAATTTTAAACACAGCCCAATAAAACTACATTAAACATGCCTGGACATCATAATTCACCAATTCAACCTACACTGAACATTGAATTTTGTATTTCTTAAACATGATTTGATAACTTTCCTTTCACACAGTACTCATTTTTCAGATGCTACTTTAATCATTTACATATTTACAATATTTGAAAAAACTAAGAGGAAATTAAAACATGTTATGAAAACATAATATAAAATAAAGAGGGTATTGAAAATCAGAATAATAATTTGATGATGCTACATACACATTCAGATTAAAAAATAACTCTTTTTATATACAGCAAAGCACAATTTGACTGGATTTCAAATTTACCAATATACACATCCCGTTCACCTCAAGTAGCCCGAAAAGTAGTATGCATGAAGCAGTAGTGTATGCATGAAAACCAGTTTTTAAAAGAAATGAATAGGACAGTTAAAAACTTATCTTTGTAAAAGAAATGAATAGGACAGTTAAAAAACTTATCTTTGAAGTGAGACATGTCACAAAGCTCTTTATTCATAAATAATGAATTTAAAATTATTTAAATATGCATGGCTAAAAGTGTAAGCAATTTAGATTTTTTACATTACTTTTAGATGAAATAATTTAACTTTTTCCTTGTACAACTTCTAAGACAGAAATAAGCATATCTATTAACAAACAATAAAAACTGCTTATTTTTCCTCAATAAAATTCCTATCATTTCAGTTTGCCATTACCCAATTTTCATACAATTCTGCTGTATAGTTTTTGCTGCAGACTGATTGCAAATTTCAAGTTTTATTATTGACATCCTGTGTGCCCATTGAAGTCCGGTACCACCCGTTTAACTTCCGAATGGCTGCAGCTATAATCATAAAAGTGGTGCCTAGGTACAATAAAAGTGGCTATGCGCTGCTAGATGAGACAGCTTTCAGTGCCAACTGGTGGAAAGCAGTGGAGTTAGCATACCTATCTCGAAAAACGATATGAGATAGGAAGAAAGAGTGAATTACACAGTTGTAGAGCACCATCAATTTAGTATGAAAAAGACACCTTGTAGACATGAATGTTAAGAATAGAACCTTTTAAACACACATTTGTTTGTTCACAATTTCCGAAACTGTGATTTCGCGAAACGATCCTAGAAAGTAGAAAACAACTAGTTATCACAAGCTACCTTTATTTTCAATGTTTTAAATTTCTCTCCATCAAATGAAATGCACATCTGGATTCTTGTTTTCATGTTGCATGCTGTAGCATAGCGGGTGACACATTTGCACAAGCATCTGTAATATGTCGGTGAAGGTCCTGCAATGTTTGTGGAGGAGTCGCATACATCTGTTTGAGGTGCCTGCACAGGAAAAGTGTGTTGCAGTCAGATCAGGTGAATGTGGAGGTCACTCTTCGAAACCACCGTACCCGATTTTTCATTCTCCATATTCCTCCATCAGGTACTGCTTCACTTGCGACGTAATGTTGGAACCATCCATTCGGGAATTGAAGCAATGGAAGTTCTCAACAAAATCTGGTATTATGTCTTGCAGAATTTCTAAATACTGTGGGCCATTAATGTACCTTGGTAAAATATTGAGCCCATTAGCCTGTTATTATAAATTCCACACCAAACATTAATTGAAAACCCATGATGTTAAACTTCGGCAGAACATAACGGATTTTCCAGTGCCCAGTAATGGGTGTTCTGCCTATTGTACATTTCATTCTGTAAAAAGCATACCTCATCTGTCCCCACTATACCTGCCAAGAATGTTAGCTGAACCTCTATCTGGTTTATGATGAAATTGAACAATGCAAAATGTCTCTTGGCAACCCCATCCAGCAATTCCTGATTAGGAGTTGGTCAGTATGGATGAGCACCTAGTTCATTTAGGATTTTCCAAAAGAGACTTTTCTGAGAGGCCACACTTTTCACTTATCTCTCTTGTGCTGCTTTTTGAATATGGGAGGCTGTATGATAAAGCATCTTTCTGTTGCACTTTCTGCCCTACCTTAGCTGGTCTGCCAGACTGAAGTCGGCTAGTCACTCAGTTTACCTCCCTTAAATTTTTCACAATCTGTAGGATGGTTTTGTGTGAAGGATGCGGGCCTGCAGGAAAACGTTGCCGATGCAACCACGCTGCCGATCGTTCCTTGTGCTCACATTCACCATATGTAGAACCATCTCACACAAATAATTTTTTGAAAAATCACTCCATGACCAAGAGCTTCAACATACAACCACGAGCAGATATCCGTTTTGTAGCTGTCTCAGGTGAACAGTTGTGACATTTCATACACTATTTGCATTATGCACAAATTTGCACACCAAGCTCAAGTTGTATTGACTTGACGCGTTTTGCAACACGCTGGTGCATGATCTGTATGTTGTCTACTCTGTTTGTAAAGACAATCAGTACAAGGATGCACCCCAAGAGGTTTGAACCACCCGTCCTCTCGAATGTGAATTACAAGTGACATCACTGTGCCAAGATACAGGCATGTTTTCATCCAAAAGATAATCTTTTTCTCCTTCGGTTCAAGTTTCATGATATTGCAGATTCAGAAATCACGAAGAAACTAATGTGCATTTTCAGCATTCTACTTTTAGCATTCATATTTATAAGGTGTCTAAATTGATGATGCTCTACAACTTTGTTATTCACTTTTTCTTCTTATCATGTATCGTTTTCGAGATCGGGTAGCTAACTATGCTGTTTTTTTACTAGGTGGCGCTGAAAGCTATCTCAACAAGATACAAATTCCACCGTATAAAAAAAATGTCATTTTTTTGTGATAATCAACCCGGACAATCTTTATAGCCGTATTTGTATAGAAATATACTGAAAACAGGTGCGAGAGTCAGTTTTTAGTATATTCCTATACAAATTTGGCCGAATCTAGAAAAAAAAATGGCTTGTGTTGACATGATATAGAAAGAGGATAAGTTCTTTTTCCCAATTTTATGAATACAGCTGCAGCCGTATGGCAGTTAAACGGGTGGTACCAGACTTTAGTGGGCCCCATGTATGTGTATATATATATACACTTGTATGAGCTATGTAAGAAACACTGTTATTAATCAGGTCTAAATATGCTACGAGAGATCTTTAATTATTACAACTCTAGTGGGAACCATGTATACATATATACACTTGTATAAGCTATGGTAAGAAACTGTTATTAATCAGGTCTAAATATGCTACAAGAGATCTTTAATTATCACAACTCTGTTTATATGCTATACGATGAGTATTAATAATTTGATAAAGTGAAACAAATACCTAAAGAGTTTGTGAAGGTACTGAGCCCAAAATCCTCAAAATGGGGATGATGAGGTAGGGAAACTATACTACAAGTGCGTGTTTGGGATAAACTCAGAATGGCCACTTCACAACATGAACACCCTCCCATCAAGACATCAGACCAATTTAACTACATGCCAATTCTGGGGCTATAAAACTATGCAGAGTGACCAAACTTCTTATTACCTGGATCTTTCTGGAAATACATTAGGTTAAAGCAACTCGACAGCTATCTGCTCATGAGAAGAAATGCTTTCATACAGGAATTTCTAAAGGAATAGCCAAGACGGACATGAGGAAAACCACAAAACTTGCCATGCAGCCAGCCAGTTTGCCAGGATTCAAACATGGATGGGAACCACCAACATTTGATGACTTTACCACTCAGGCACATGAAGAGCCATTTCCAGAAGCATGAGGTGTCATGCTTTATCCCTGTTGATTTAAATTTTATCTTTTAAAACACCCGCCTGTTAATTTTATTATGTTACGCTGGCTGTTTCATAGCAGCGAGCATCTGTGTACAAAATTTCATTGTAATACACCATATTTTTTTGGATAACACAGGTTTTGTGTTTACAAACTTGATTTTAAACATCAAAACAGCTACACCAGAAAAATCATTAAAAATACAGCTTAGTAATAGGAACGACCAATATATAGAGAGGTTAAAAAATATCTAAAAATGTGAAATCATTTAAAAGGAGCCAAAATTAACAAATTTTGTAATGGAATGTGCAGATGGAAATGATGCATTGAGATGATACAGGGTGCTGCTGAGATATAAGCATTCTGCTGACAGACTGCCACTTTCTATTGGATTTCAAGAGGAAAGCATGAAGCTCACCAACATGCATTTTATTTATGGCGCTATGAACAGAAAAGAAATACAGCAGCTACTCAAATGTTTGCTAAGTAATTATTCTATGCCCCTTCTTTGAAAAGCTACTCTGTATTAGCCACACCCTCATAAATAAAATGCATATTGGCAAGCTCCAGGATTGCGCATTTATGCATATCACTTCAATTTTGT